CTCACCATGAAAGACAGAGCAGAGAAAATTTGAAGGGATAAACACATAGGTACTTTTTTAAGAAGAAATTTGATAATTCTCTTGAAGAGATCCCTATATGCTGCCTGTGATAGTGGGTGACTAGATTTACTAAGGAGTGCCAGTTCTTTGTCAGATAAAATATCACCACTTCATAGATTCAGTTTGGAACACATCCTCAAATATTTGCAATTTATGCAGGGGAGACACAATAAAAAAAAATAGGGTTCCTGCCAAGCAGTAACCGATCCTGCCAGGATGACCTAAATCTGTTGCCAAGTCAGATTTACCCTTCAAATTCAAACAGGAGAGCTGCATGTGTAACTTACTCTGTTTGTGCTTCCTCTGCTGCTGAGCCTGAAAGGGAAGGTCAGATCCCAGCCTCAGGACAGCAATCGATGTTCCTGCCTGAGAGGCAGCTTAATTTTAGCATCTGTATGATCAAAATGCTACAGAGTTGGCTGGTAATTCTACCTTGCATCTGACAGGTTAGTGATGAAATTGAAGTGTTTACACAGTCTTGGTAAACAACCAAAGTTTTGGCTCTAAATATTCAGAATAAAAAGTATGTAAAGAGCAAAGAAATAAGCAAATGGGTGTAACAGCTGTCTCTTACAAACCTAACCCCCTGAAAAAGCTTGTTTTTCAGGTAGATATCACAGAGATAGAGACTGGATTTATTAAAGCTAGAAAAGAAGAGCATAAGTTTGTTTTGTTTTGGGTTTATGTTGTTGAGGTTTTTTTAATACAATAGTCCCGTATTTATACTAATTCAACTAATCCAGGATACAGTTTACAAGTTTAAATTAGTAATTTTAAGAGCAACTTTATAACTTCCTACAAGCCTGTGCTGTGACTTGCACTGAACACTGAGCCTTCATTTTAAAGGACTAATTGCTTCACAGAGCAGATCAGTCCCAGCCGAGTGCATGCTACTGCTCAAAGCAGCTTCTCAGAGTATTTTCTTCAGTCATCACTTTGCTTCACTTGAAAAAAGACGTGGGAGTGTATGTGTGAAGGGAGCTACTCTACCATTGCCTTACAGTCATTTCAAACATTAATTACAGCATTTTGCAGTTAAGATAGGACAATATATGTCCTACTGTAAGTCATATGTCCTTGCAAACTCCTATTTCTGAGCATTAATTTCTATGCATGGATAATAAGGTTTTGAAGTTCATCATTAGCTGACTTTCTCCTTATAACAGCAATCAGTTCAGAAAGACACTTGAACATTTCCATAGCTTTAAGCATTTAAACTCTGTTCGTATTACACACTTCTATCTTTCATTAATTATCAAACTGCCCTGCTACTCAATAAAACAGCTTAAGCTGAAGTGTTAAGCGTCCTGCCAAGCAGAGGCCTGAGAGAGAGCACATGACAACCATTGTCCTTGGTAGACCTTGGTCAGTAGCAGCTCATGCAGTAACAACAGAATGCTTTGCAAGGTATTAATTTCTCATCAAAGTCTGATGGAATCATACAATGCCACCGTGAGCCTGTACCATGCTTTCCTAGAAGGCCCCTAGCACTTCTCCAGCCTACCTCACTGTCCAGGTCGAGAGCTGAGTCAGTCTCTCTTAACTGCCCCCATCTCAGGAGGGAAAAAGAGACAGGAAAAACCAAACACACCCCCAAAAGCAACCCCCTTTCTAAACAATCCAAATCAACAAGCCAGACGCAGGAAACAAAAGCAATATCCCCTTGCAAGCCCCCTTTCTAAGCAGGTCCTCCTCTTCAGACAGGAGACTACACTTCTCCAGCCTACCTCACTGTCCAGGTCGAGAGCTGAGTCAGTCTCTCTTAACTGCCCCCATCTCAGGAGGGAAAAAGAGACAGGAAAAACCAAACGCACCCCCAAAAGCAACCCCCTTTCTAAACAATCCAAATCAACAAGCCAGACCTAGGAAACAAAAGCAAATACAATATCCCCTTGCAAGCCCTCTTTCTAAGCAGGTCCTCCCCTTCAGATAGGAGACTACAACATGCCAACAGTGTCAGAAGCAGAGGTTGTGAGTGTCCATCTCTCTCCTGGTTCAGAGAGACAAGGTGCTTCCCTACAACTAGACACATCTCCTACCATGACCAGGGAAGATCACACATTGCCCTGACCCTTCAGCTGAGTGGGTGGCAGGGAGGACACTCACTGGGTGTATGGAACAGGATTCAAGTCTCTGTAACAGAGAGACAGGTATGTGAGACTGTTTTCAAGATAAGTTATCTTGGTACTTTTCTTTTTTTCTCTATGTCATCTTCTGATGTCCCTTGGAACTTCTGGAAGTAAGCAAACTGACTGATGTCATGCATCCGGTCAGACATCAAAGGATGGTGTCACATACTAATCATACCAGATGGGAAGACAATTGCTATAGTTACCTCACTACCAAAAATATCTATAAACAAAAATAAGGCCACATAAATAAACTGAGGCAGTACCTAAGTAAAGTTCTTTGAGTCAGGGAAAATTCTATTTATTGAAAAAGCTGCAAGATGCTCCTGAAGGGGACGGGGAAGCCAGACAAAGAACCTCACAAACAGTTTTGAAGTAACAAGTTCTTTTTCATAAACTGCTTGAAGCAGCTAAAATAATGATCTTGCATAATGAGAAAGGAACAATTACAAACTTCTAGTCCCACAGTGAGCCTATTGTCTCATTAAAGTGTTCTGGAATTTCTTTGACATTTAGAAACAATGTTTGTTTGCTGGACACGTTTCCCACTTGCTGAAAGTGGGAATGGGCCTTCTATCTATCAAAGTAACAGCACAAAAAACACCTCTTCCCATAGCAATTTTAGTGCCATTTTTTCTGTTTATTAACTAAGAATTTTGTGGGAATGATTTGTTTGACTGAGGCTGTTACATTTTTCAGAGGATTAACAGATAGATTATTAGAGCAGTTTAAAGAGTAGCACAGATCCCTCTGAAATCTTTATGTTTAACTAGCAGAAAGGAAAAAACTCCACACGCCTACACAGTGATATTTTACCTGTAACACCTACCAAGCAATGGGAAAAGTCTTTCCCTTCCAATTCCAATGCACACTCTCACACGGAAGGACGAGCTGCAGGAGGCACAGGCTGCCCTGTGACACAGCCATCAGCACCCTGCCCTGTCCTCCTCTTGTGTACAGCCCCCCAGACCATACACGGACCTTTAGCAGTTACTGGCCAGCTTGGCTCTTCTTCCTGCATCTCTGGTCTTTCCCTTGGAAACTATTTTACTTTCTTACTTAGCAGATGATTGATCTGATGGCCCTTGTTCTCCTGGCAGCCAACCAGGACACGTCCTTCCTTTAGCTTCTCTCAGAGAAGGTCCACAAGCAGACACAGTAGAGGAGCAGTCAAAAGCTGCTCACTGAGCACCTTTTTGCTCAATGAGCAAAAATGAGTGGTAGGAGAGAGGCAGCCAGCAGCGCCTTATAGGACAGCCCAGCACAGGGGTTGGGCACTAGTGAGGATGACTGCATGAGAGTTGCTAGAAGACTAACAGTGCTTCGGGAAGAGAAGGAAGAAATAACAGAGGACAACGAGGTTAGAAAGAGGAAGAGAGAAAGGAACAAGCAAATATAGCAAGGTCACTTTATCTTGATAAAGTTTGATAGAGTTTGTTTTCTCCAGATGCATGGCATATGCCCAGGGATTATGTTTGGGGGTCCTGCTAATTCTGTATGCTCAGCCTGGGTCTGTACAGTTTCAGCTGGGCAAAGGGCCTCACAGCTAACGCTGAGCTTTCGATTCCTGTGGAATACACAGTCCTGAATGTGTGGCCTCATGTTGCTTTAACAGTCCTAAATTCCACGTGAAAATATTTAATATTAAAGAACAATGAAGTCAGCCATAATGCTCTAGGTTGTACTGTGCCAAAGCATAATACGATTATAAATTCCTCTCATTTACAGAAGTATTCCAAGCAGACCATTTACTGCAAGTAGGATTATCGTTAGCTAAAAATATTTTGTACAGGAGACTCATGAATTTATTCCTTTGATTACAGCCTTCTTTCATATGAGAACCTGAAAGACGGTCTAAGGGCATGGAATTAGGGAGAAGGTGTTTGGGGCTGCTCACCAGACCTCAGCAGACAACAGAATATTAATTTAGCATAAATAAGGCATAACAGGAAAACAGAAGAGGCTCTCCAGTTTGAAAGGCAGAGATCTGCTGCTGTTCTCAGGTCGTAAAATCTGTCTTATGGAAAAGGACTGCATGATTTCAAATCTAAACCAACTCCCCTATCAGTATCTTAATATTTTGCACAAGCCTAAATATTTTCTCAAGGAACTAGTAATACAAAATGCTTTTTTATTTCATTGCATGGCATGTTATTCCACCAAATTCATCCTACTTTTGCTTTGTCCATGCAACACAATGCCTCCTTACTTATGATACAAACTATGACACGCAGCAGCCACCACTGACTCAAATTCAGCTTTTGTGGATTTTCCTCAGGGTTGGCATGATAACACTTTTCATTGCTTTCAATCCCTCTGCAACAAAGCTAACAACAAAAAAGCCATCTTTCACAGGGAAGAATCACACACGTTATTTGCAGTATTCCAAGAAGGCCATTTATTACAAGGAGGATTATGGTTACCTACAAATACCTTGTGCAGGAAGTTGATTTATTTATTCCCTTCGTTACAGCCTTCTTTTATATAGAAGTACAAGGTGCATAAGTTCAGGAATACAACGTCTGGGACAACACTTGCTTCCAGATCTCAGACAACCAGTTCAGGGGGTTTGGAGTTTTATTTTTGGTAGAGAGTTTAGTGTCAGAATGTTTTTATTTCACCAAAAGCCCCCGCCAACCACTCACATCAGCAGTTTGATGAGAGAACAGATGCAGCTCCTCCCAGCGCAATCCCTCACAGAGGAGTCTGATAAGGAATCCAGCTGCAGGGTCTGGCCCATTTCAGACACCCAGCTGCAGCAGAGTGCTTCAGTAACCTGGAGACAGGAAAGTAAGAGAAGTTCCGACTTACCACTCCCCCTCCTGCCGAGTGAACCAGCACAGACATGCCTTCTCTTAGGTTAGCGACTTCAAAGAGCATCATGTAGGCAGTTACAAAGTTCATGGGAAATGCAGCAGCTTCAGAAAAACTCATATCATCTGGGATCTTGTAGACAAATTCTACGGGGGTACAGACTACTTCAGCCCATGCACTGTAGTTTACAAAAGCCATGACTCTGTCTCCAATCTACAAAGAAGAAAACAACACTGAGGATAAGGCTGAAAATGAGAATGTAGAGAGCAAACTGTAAAACCTGCAACTCTCCTATTCAGGCTGTGGATAAGTGACTGACTATGAAGGCAATGTGCTCCACATCTTTGGCAAATCAGCAGTTAAGCTGCTCAGCTTAGGGATTTTATAAATTTTTAGTTGTATTTATTCTAAAAGTTGAATCTAACAAAAATATCCAAACAAAGCTAAGGTCACCTCTTCTTTTTTGCTACACTGCTTCTCTGATGGAGCAGTCTACCATCGTCACTAATACAGATCATCTTTTGCTAGCAGAGCTCCTAAATAGCAAATGGGGCTGTAAACAACAAAACCAGCATTCTTACTAATAGGAAACTCACTTGCAGAAGAAAGAAAAAAAAGTATTCTAGTGATGAGATGCATGGAAAAAAACAAAATTACACCTAAGATAATTTTCAATTTGCTTTCTCACTCTTCACACTAATTTAGAGCTATTTTTCCCCCACTGTGGACTGAGAAGGGGACACCTTGTACTCTGCTAGGTAGAGCACATGAGAGGGCTCAGGAACCACTCATTTGGAAGATAACACCATCTGTATCCACTCTCTATTTTTATTAACTTAATAACTGATTCTACCAATACATTTCCACGATTGTCATTTCTACAGTCACATGTCAAAGCAGAATTTGATCCTGCAAATTCACATAAGCCACCTTAAACATCAAAAATATGCCTCCAGATTCTGAGGCACTATGAAGAGTACAAAGTGAATTTTACAGGACTTAAAGGACTAATGAAATCTTCTTTTTGAAGGCAACATTTCTCTACTCAATGTATTTGGAAAATATATAGTAATGAAAGGATATTTCATATGTAGAAATTAAGATTATGTTATAACAGAGACAGTCAGTTGCTCCCAGGAACCTTTCAAAGGCACATCAAATTCATACATTTGTATAGTGGCCTTCATTGTAGCTTCTGGTTTTTAAAACGGCGATAGTGACTCCCCCCAGATGGGCAAGAACAACAGCAAAGCAACTCGAGCTCAGAGGCTCCTGCAGGGGTACAACCACACTTGGGAAGCAGCATTTGCATGGAAGTAGAAATTGGTCTGCTGGGACTATTAGGGTGAGTAGTGAGCAAATGTCTGGCCAGTGTATATCAAACCCTTCACAGGCGCTCTGTTACAAACTCTCTGTAATGGCTTGTCACCAGCAGCCCCTACACATCTTTTAGCTTGTCTTAGTCCTCTTTGCCTCTCCATAATACACCGACAGAAACAGCAGCTTTAACCATGGAAGGAGCTCTTTAATAGAATGACAGTATAAGTAATAAGGCAGGAACACCATCAAACTTCAGGACTTTGTGTTTTAACTAAAACTAACAGTAGCCATGCCCCTAAAATACCTTTGATTACCTGCCTGATATTTTCTCTTACCTTCTACTAATACCCATTAGTGCTTTAAAAATACTACAGGTTGTTCTTGGACTACTTCAGCTATATTCCATAGCAATGGTGTAAGGCACAACACTTTTACCTGCAGGCAAACGTTTACAGCACAAGCACATTCTGGCCTCCCAAGTACTTGTCATCACCCTGTCTTTGGGATATTGCAGGTTTGCTAAAAGCTAAAGTGCTGCTGACAGTTCTGAAGGATTTGGCTCTTCTACAATGAAGATGCTGAAACAGAACTGTCACCCCAATTTCACTGAAATGCCTCCTTCTTTTGAAAAACACTCATTCAAATTAACAATGCCTCACTGGTAACCACTCTGTGGTTCCCTTTTGCTGTTCGAAAGGCATCTAAACTCTGAAGTCTGCTAGGATTAATTAGTGAAGATGTTAAAATGTCTTAAATCCTTGCAAACAAACACAAATGATTACCAAAAAGAATGCGGAGCAGTCCATCTTTGTGATTCCCAAAGGATTTTTTTAGAAATAATAAATAACACTTTACCACAAATACTACATAGAGCCAAGTCATCATTTCAGATTAGGCCTCAGCTACAGAGAATCATCCACACAACTCGAGAGAGTTCAGGCCTGAGACATTTGAGCTCAGCAGACATCAGCTTTTTCTTTAAGAGGAGAAGGAATAGGCACTACACTATTATCCCATTTTAAAAAAAAAGGTTTTATTTCAATGTAAAATGTGTTCTCACACATTGCTGTCAAAATGGACTGCCATCCAGTGCTGTCATTCGTCACACAGCGAGCGAAGACAAACACCTGGCAACACCTCAGCTGTAGTAGCTTGGGTAGTGCAGACTAAGGGCCAGTAAGACATTTTTCTGGAGCATGAAACACCAACGACTCTAACGTGACTGGAATTGGAAGAGATTTACAAAGGGAAAGAAGGTCAGAAGATG